AGCCCCCCACCCCCCACCCCGGCCTCCTTCCCGTTTCCCGCCGGCCCTAACCCTCCACCACGGCGCCTCGCACAGTGCCCGCCCCGCCAGCCAAGGCTGTGGCCCTTCCTGTCCTTGTCCGCCTGGAGCCTGCTCCCTGCTGGCCCCTCCCAAAAAGCACCAGTGACCTGGCCCCAGCTGTTCCCACCTCCTGCAGAGCATCCCAGCCCTTTCGGGTTCCTTGGGATCTGGCCTCACCCTCTGCCTCTGTCCCAGGGTCCACTCTGTCCCATGTGCGATGCCCACATTAACCTCACCCCACGTCTAGCATCCGAGCAGCCCCTGAGACAGGAGCCCAGTGCCTCCCAGCCTCCCTGACCTGGCCCAGGTCATCACTGCCTGCACCAGGCGTTGTCCCTGACCCCGCCCAGCTCTAGCCCCTCCCACGTGGCCCTGAGGTGGCCTGTCCTACACCCGCAGCCTCCCACATCAACCCTCTCCAGGGGACCTGGGGGCATCCAGCGACGTGACTGTCCCATCAAGAACAGTTAGTTCGGGAAAATGCTGCCCAACGTACCTGCTTGTCCCCTCCTCTTGTCACGCCCCTGCTCCCTTCTCTCTCTCCCTGCGTGTTCCTCCCCAGCCCTCTGTCTCTGTGTCTCTGTGTCTCTGTCTCTCTGTTTCTGTCCCCCCACCCCCCGATTGGACTCCCATCCACATGGAGCCCCCTCCTCCTGTGCCACCTCCAGGACACTCTGAGGAGATGTGGGACTCGGGTGTTCCCAGCCCAGCCTCATAGAGGCTGCACAGCTTTGACCTCACGTGTGCCGGGACCAGCATGACCAGAATCCCAGACCAGGCTTGGGCCGTGAGCCGCAGGGCTGTGAGCTTCACTGTGGCTCACGTGTGTATGTTTTCATGAAAAGCCAGGGCGTGCGGGACACTCGGCTGATGGGGCGGCTGCGTGGGTAGAGGGCAGGTGGCCCTGCAGGGCAGGTGGTGACGAAGCAGCTGTTTTCCTGCATCTTGTCTTCTTCCCGGAAAGATGCATCTTGGTGCTTAGGACCCTGAGAGAGACTTAAAGGAATTTCCCCCCTTGGTGCCATGCTAGTCCCCAGCCCGGCCGGGGAGCCTCTGCCTGCACGCCATGCCCAAGGGGTGAGCCGACCAGGGCAGGCACCAACGGCTGCTTTCTCTCCTGCCAATGCAGGAGGCCCTGGAGGGGACAGCATCCATTTTTCATTTTCAAGTCCTGGAGAGAGACACCTTGGACCATAGATGGCTGGCATGAGGCTGGCTTCAGGGCTACCTGCCCCAGTGGGGAGAGAGAATGCCAGCTCCTCTCCACACGGCTCCTAGAGATGTCTGTGTGCAGCTGGCACCTCCAGAGCTCCAGGGGCACCTTGAAGAGGCCTGTGGTGGGGTCTCCCAGAGCCCCTGCGTGGGAATGCACAGCATTGCCACGATGCTGACAGGACAGACACCTCCAGGGTGGGTGGAGCTCTGCACAGCTGCTGGGCTCCCAGGGTGCTGGCACGCGGGAACATACTGGCGTTCTGAGCTGTCGAAGGAAGTCAGGAGCCGAGGTTTTATGTGAAGTCGCCCCACACTTGGCCACCCATGGACAGCTGTGGGAAATGTCTCATGGTCTGTGACTGGGCTGTCCTGGGGCCTTTCTTGGGGACAGAGTCCAGGACAGGGGCTGGTTGCTGGGGAGGGCAAAGAACTCAGTTCTGTGCTTGTGGTTCGAGGAGCGGGCACCCGTGGAGTCTGAGTGAGAGCAAGTTAAGGCAGAAGATGTGGTCTGTGGCCTTTGTGGGCAGCTGACCCACCAACCAGGGCAGCCTCCCTGAGCGCCCCACGGAGTGAGAGCAGGACGGACCCTGGGGACCCCACAGTGAAGGTGCCTAATGTGGATGTGCAGAAGGTGGCCTGGGTGCACATAAAGCATGGGGTGCCTGGGGTGCTGGTCCGGGAGGTCTTGGTGGGACCCGGGATGGACCCTTCTTCCAGCTGCCCGAGGAGATGCTGGTACGGGGTGGGGGTGGGGGGCCATACTGCTCAGGCAGTGACGGGGCCAACATGTGTTGTGTCCCTGCTGGGTGCAGGCCCCCAGGCAGGACATTGGTCTGGTTGGAAGCCGCTGCTGCAGAGGCTGGGCCATGCTTGGTGCGTCAGGAGATGGATGCAGACTGCCCGGGCCGCTGGAGAGCCCGCGTTGTAGGGGACTGGGCCTTGGGAAGTCACCCTGCGGGGCGGGGGAGGTGAGGGGCTGAACATCTGGCCAGCAGCCCTGGGCCAGGTTTTATACGTTGCAATTAAAGTTCTTGGCCCTTCTATTTAGCTGAAATAGCGTAGATTAAAGGGTATTTTTATGTAACCAGGACGGATTTGACTTAAATCACCGGTCACAGAAACCAGAATTACTTTTCCCCACAAATGCTCATTTTTTCCCCTCGTTTGATCCTCTCTGCATCTCAAAGGTAGTTATTGATTTAGCTCTTAGAAAAAACAGCATATTCTAAGGTTGGGGTCTGTGTAGATGTGTATTTTTTCAAATGGAATTTCCCGCTACGTTAGGGAATCTAGTCATGAGCTGGTTATCATAACGCTGGCTGGTTATTGTAACACTGGCTGGTTGCCGTGACTTTGGTTGGAGATTGTAGCGTTGGGAGTGTCTCCAGGAGGCGAACCAGTGATTTGTGCAGTTTCCTTCTGTCTTGCATGGCAGCATCCCCCGCCCATGCATGGATACTCTTGTCTGTAACCAACGCAATACCCCCAAAGCAAGTGCTTGGATTGTTCTCAAAACAAGAAATGGAACACAGTTTTGAATTTTCAGCTATTTTAACTTCACATGTGGAGCATGTGGGTGGTTTTGTTTTTCATTTGACGTTTTCAGCCAAGTCAAGGGGACGACTTGGAAGCCACAGACTCTGGCCCGTCAGTCCAGCCATTAGCTGCTGTTTCCTTCCAGAGCTTCTCTGGGTTCTGGCACTTTCCTGGAAGCTGAGGGCCTCCCGGCCAGTGATGCCAGGTCTCAGGGGCTTTGGCCAGTTCACCAAGTGACTTTAGTTAGAGCTCTTTGGGCGAGAAGTGCTGTGCACAGAGGGCTCTCAGATCCGTTCCTTTTATGTCCGCAATTGTAATGAGAGGAGAATCGTCTCGGCGTTCCCTGACCAGCAGCCCCCTCCCGGGTCGTGGTGGGGGAGGGCACGCAGGTTCTCTGTCCACCCCCCACCCCCCCATTCACGGGGGACAGTCCCAGCTGAGGCCTCCGGACCGTGCTGCCAGTGCCTCGGGGTGCCCGCCTTGGTGTTTGGGGCCACGCGCCCCTCCCCGCAGCACTCGACAGGGACTCAGAGCCTGCACCCCTGGCCTTGGCTTCCCTCATATTGACTCTCAGCGCCTGGACCTGCCGAGGACCTGCCAGCCCCCACACTCTGGACCCTCCCAGGGGGAAGCTGAGCCCACAGAGGCCACTTCCCTGGGATTCTGGGCGCTGCCCTGCACCCCACAAAAACGTGGGATCACAGCTTCACACATTGGTTTGGTTTTGCTGAAAAAAAATTAACCAAAGATCAAGTTTTTAGGAATTATGGGGTTTCGTCTTAATGTCTGCCTGGGACAGAGCTCCCCCCTGTCCAGTGGGTGAGGAACTTCTTCCGGGTCAGAAGGACACTTGAGTGTGACATGAAGGGGCTTCCTGGGGCTCGAGCAAACTCCATCGCTGTGCAGTCAGGGAGGGAAATGGTACTTTTTACCGATTTGGTGTTTTTGTTTCTTACTAAAATGAACTCAAGCTCTCCTGCCTCCAGCTGGGTCCCTGGGTGTGCTGTGGCCCCCTCCCCTGAGTGGTGTGTGTCCACCTAGGTGCCCCCAGCCCACCCAGCAGTCTCCCTGGCATGGCCAGTGGGGACTGACCCTCTCGGTGACTTGTGATCCCAGTCAGTCTGCTCAACCACAAGGACTGACGAGACCCTCTGGGTGTGCTGTGGCCCCCTCCCCTGAGTGGTTTGTGTCCACCTAGGTGCCCCCAGCCCACCCAGCAGTCTCCCTGGCATGGCCAGTGGGGACTGAGCCTCTCGGTGACTTGTGATCCCAGTCAGTCTGCTCAACCACAAGGACTGACGAGACCCTCTGTTGACTCAACAGTTCTCAGCCTTGTTGGAGGCGACTTCAGGGCCCGTTTGTGGGCTGTGGGGGAGCTGGGGGCCCAGGCCCCTTCCCACTGCCCACGACTGAGGGGTGGCAGCAAATCTGTTTAGAACCTTCACAGCCCCCTGTGAGGACCCTGACTGATGCCTGCAGTGACAGGAGGGAGCTGGTGTCTGGCCAGCGTCCCCATCCCTGTAGGCGTCTGCCGAGCCAGGGGTCTTGGGGCATATGCCCAAGTCAGACTCCAGGGATGCCAGGCAGGACTTGCAGCCCCCCTGGAGATAGGGAGAGATAAAGGGCCTCAGGTGACTTGGGGTGACTCTCCACGTCAGGAAGAAATGATAAAGCCATGGGGACCGTGAGAGGAGTCCCAACAAGCAGCCTCTGGGTCTGTATCCACACGTGGGCACTCCCCAGTGTGGTGCCAAAGGCACTCAGCCTCTCGTTGGCCCCCGGGGCACAGGTCTGAGTGTCGCCTTGCATCTCCTTGCTGGGCTAGGCTGGCAGCCACCGGAGTCGGAGCAGAAGCGTCAGGGTCAGGTCAGGAGACGCTGCTGGGGATGGTGAGCAGGGGGCTGAGGGGCTCGGCGTTTGCACTGCCACATGGGATCCTGTGATTCAAGACGGCGACGCTGGTCACATTTTACGTGTCTCCTTTCTCCGTATCGGTGAGCAGGGGGCTGAGGGGCTCGGCGTTTGCACTGCCACGTGGGATCCTGTGATTCAAGACGGCGACGCTGGTCACATTTTACGTGTCTCCTTTCTCCGTATCCTTCACTTCTGTGGATTATTTCTGACAATCATGCGAGCTTTTGTTCTGCAGAGTTTCTTGGCTAAAACATTCTTCAGATGTGTTTGAATTCTTTCCCCATTTTTCCATAACTGGTTTGGGACCAGATGTCAAAGCCGGAGGTCTCTCTCGGTCGGGTCCCTCGTCCCCTCAGCAGCTCAGGGCGGCTACGGGGTGGCGCCTAGAGGGAGTGCCGTGAGCTGGAGCTGGGCGGGGCAAGGGGTTGTGTTTGAGCCTCTGGCAGGCAGAGTGGTCAGCACGTGGGCTCAGCTCCAGGTGGTCCCGAGCGAGGGGCTCACGTGGAACCAGGGGGGTTTGTTCCAGGCAGCAGCGTCTTGGTTCTGGAATTGTTCAGATGGAACCTGACAACACCAGGGATGTCTATGTTTTTCTTTCTAAAAATCTGAGGCTGAATGAGATGTGCAGGGGTTGCTGTTTCTGGATCCAGGGATGGAGACACCCCAGGAGGCCTGAGGCTGGTGTCCGGTTCCAATTCCAGCTGCCCAGACCTCCCGTCTGCACATCTGAGCTGCCCCATCACTCATGCCCTGTCCTCCCTGCAGGAGCTGCACATCGGGGACCTCAAGGAGGGGCCTTTCCGGGAGGACCCGTGTCCCCTGGAGGGTGAGTACAGATCTCATGACTCCTCTTCCCCAAACCTCACAGTCTCTACCCTGTACTCAGGGTACATAACAGGAAACCCCCACCACACCCCAGAGTGAGCTGTGCCCAGTCTTAAAGCAGTTTGTTCTTAAAATGCTCCTGGTACCACAATTCACTTAGGGAGGCTTACATGAAACAGGCAACTTGGATCTGGCAGTGAGAGAAGCAAAAGGTCCTCACGATGGCCTGAGACTGAGCATTTGTTTACTTCACGTATTTGGAGTTTCCCTGAGTCTGTGTTAATGGGGGTGGGGGAAGGCTGGGCTCGTCCTAAAGGTGATTTGTGAATTCTCGAGTCAGATCTGAGTCTGGCATCCTGTGCTGGTGTAAAGCTCATCCTAAACTGTCAGTGTGAGCAATGTTGGCCTGACCTAAGTCACTGCCACACATGTGCATCTGCAGCATATGAAAGGTCACCCTAGGCTTCCCTGTGGGGCAGGTGTAGGTTGCAGGGAAGCCAACCAGCAGGGCCATCTTAAGATGGCTGCCGAAGCTGAGTGACTTCAAGGCTCTCCTGTTCGGGAACTCGGGCTCTGAACATCTCCCCAGCTCACATCTGGATGAGCACCTGTCCACAGGTGCTGACCCAGCACAGGCCTGGGCTCCTATCCTGGGACACGGCTTGTGAGGCCTGGAGAATAAAGAAGCCCCAGAAGCGAGAGCACCCTTCATCCATCCCCACCCAGAGGCTGGGGACAGGGAGTCTGCTCAGCTGGTGCACAGGCGACCCACGTGGGTGGCAGGTTCCGGAGTTGAGGGCTGTTGGGAAAGTGACCATGTAGATGGGGAGAGGAAACCCGATGACACAGGGACCACCCTGGGGGCCCCTTGAGCAGGACCACCCTCCTGTGGGCCCAAGGGGCTTCCCCCGACTTTGCACTCTGCAGCATCAGACGCACCCTAAGCCCTGAGGGGACAGTTTGCTCATCAGGAGCCACTGTGGGCTGGGTGAGACAGAGGCAGGAGGGCGCACCAGCTGTGGCCGACCCAGGTGAGGGTCTCCCTGCTCTCCACATGGGTCTCTTGGGGCCCCCCTGTCCCACAAGGACAGGTTCTCGGCTGAAGGGATCGGAGCTCAGGGAGGGGAGGGCGGCAATAGCTCCTGGGCCAGGCCCCTCCCTCCCGCGTCACCTCTGCACCCGCGTCACCTGCCTGGGCCCGGCCCCTCCCTCCCCTCCTCTCGTCCCTCCAGTGGCGCTACCCCCTGAGAAGGTCGAGGGCCATGAGGGCCCGGGCCAGCTCTTCAACGCGGATGACGGCGAGAGGGCAGCGAACCACGAGGTCCCGCGAGGACTGGGCCAGAAACGCCTGAACATCGACGTAGGTCTGCCCCTCGCTCATGCAGCCGTGTCCCCGGGGCTGCGATGCACGCGTGTTGGCCCCAAAGGGAGGTTTCCCCTGTAGCTCAGCCAGTTTGAGGCGTCAAAGCAAAACTCAGACATGCTGCCAGAGCCGGCAGGCCCGGGTGGGCACAAATGTTGCTACAAATTTAGCCAAAACTGGTGGATGTGGCATTAAATAATTTGAGAAGCTTCTAGGCGGGAGGGAGTGTGGCTGAGCACGTGCAGGGCTCAGGGAGGAGCAGGTCTCCTTGGGTTTTGAATCGAGATTTCTGGAACAGACAACACTTTACAGTCACGTGGCCTCCCCTCATTCTGGGTGACGCTGAGCACTTGCATGGGCAGACAGCATCACAATGGGAAAACTGAGTCACTGGGCATGAAGCCAGGTCCACACTAGGAGGGGAGGACTCAGGCAGGCACAGGGTCTGCAGATTCCAGGGCTCTGCTCCGGCCACACTACCCTCTGGGTGCCCATTTTTGGCTGCAGACTGGAAACTGGGAAGACCCCCAAGCCATGTCCAAAAGAGACTCCTTGGAAAAGCCTCAGGAGACGCTACCCTCTGTGGGGTCACGGGCCACCTGGCATGATGGTGTGGAAGGCTGTGGGCCTTGTGGGGGAAGACTCCCATCCTGAGTCCCAGCACCGACTCTGGAGGCAAGGGTGATGGTTCCTGTCCTCTGTCCCCGTATGCCGCCTGCAGGCTCTCCAGTGTGACGTCTCCGTGGAGGAGGACAACCGCCAGGAGTGGACCTTCACACTCTACGACTTTGACAACAGTGGGAAGGTCACCAGGGAGGTAACGTGCTGTGTTTCATCAGTCCAGGCATGGAAAGGGAGCTCACGGGCTGGACTCCTAGGTATGGAATCAGGCTGGACCTGGGAGGCAGACAGACAGGCAGACGACGACACTGGTCCCTGAGATGGGGAGACAGGCTGAGTCTGAGTTAAGGAGGGAGGAGAGCTGAGACCTCTCCTGGGAGGCGGGAGGGCAGTGGGACGAGGGCACCCACTGTGAGGCTCTCGCGCTGGCCTGTGACCGCTGCTGTCTGCGCCTGTGTCCTGGCCGAGCCCTGCATGGTCTGCTTCTGCAGCCGTGACTCCCCCTCAGTCAAGCCTGGACCTGCAGGTCCTCAGCAGGGCAGCCAGGGTCCTAGCCTGCCCCTCACTCTGCTCCGCTGGGCTGTGTGTTCAGGATGCCAAATACTCCTGGAAAGGGAGCAGACATGTAGGAGGATTGCATGGGACATGCACACACTGAAATCAGCGTGTTTGGGTTCAGTGGGAAGCTCTGATCATTTATCTGGTTGCTGAGCGCTTTGGACGTGAATTCTGGTGTGCGAGGTCAGAGAGACGTGATTCCAGCAAAAGCAGGGTCACCTCTAGGCCACTAGAGGCATACACAAGGCTAAATGTGGCTGCGTGGACATGATGTCTGTCTGGGATGCTGCGTGAATGGACAGGGAGGCTGCCAGGGGTGGGTGGTTTGGGCAGTGAGGGTGGGCAGTGTCCCCCCTGAGGTCTGCCATATCGCTGACACCAATGCCCGTCCCAGGACATGTCCAGCCTCATGCACACCATCTACGAGGTCGTTGACGCCTCTGTCAACCACTCGTCGGGCAGCAGCAAGACCCTCCGAGTGAAACTGACGGTCAGCCCCGAGCCCTCCAGCAAGAAGAAGGAAGGTCCTCCTGCTGGCCAGGGTGAGGGCGTGGAGGCTCCTGCCAGGGAGTGAGCCCTGGGCTTCCCAGCGGTGACAACCCTGCTCAGATGGCCTCAAGCCTCTCCCCCACCCGCAGCCACCCCTCCCCACCCCGCATCCCCCCGGCATTTTGCTCACAGCACTAAGGGCCAGCTGATAGTCCTGTCCGTGGTGTCTTGCCCAGCCCTCCCCAGGCAAACACCTGTCCTCATTTCCGCAAGGTTGCGGGCGGAGGACGAGCAGATGGGTGGATGAGTGCGTGAGTGGGTGAGTGAGTGAGTGAGCGAGCGGGTGAGCGGGTGAGTGGGTGAGTGAGTGAGTGGGTGAGTGAGTGAGTGAGCGAGCAGGTGAGCGGGTGAGTGGGTGAGTGAGTGGGTGAGTGAGTGAGTGAGTGGGTGAGTGGGTGAGCGGGTGAGTGGGTGAGTGAGTGGGTGAGTGAGTGAGTGAGTGAGTGAATGAGTGAGTGAATGAGTGAGTGGGTGAGTGGGTGAGTGAGTGAGCGAGTGAGCGAGTGGGTGAGTGGGTGAGTGAGTGAGTGGGTGAGTGAGTGAGTGAGTGAGTGAATGAGTGAGTGAATGAGTGAGTGGGTGAGTGGGTGAGTGAGTGAGCGAGTGAGCGAGTGGGTGAGTGGGTGAGTGAGTGAGTGGGTGAGTGGGTGAGCGGGTGAGTGGGTGAGTGAGTGGGTGAGTGAGTGAGTGAGTGAGTGAGTGAATGAGTGAGTGAATGAGTGAGTGGGTGAGTGGGTGAGTGAGTGAGCGAGTGAGCGAGTGGGCGAGTGGGTGAGTGGGTGAGTGAGTGAGTGAGTGAGTGGGTGAGTGAGTGGGTGAGTGGGTGAGTGGGTGAGTGGGTGAGTGGGTGAGTGAGTGAGTGAGTGAGTGAGTGAGCGAGTGACTGAGTGAATGAGTCAGTGAGTGAGTGAGTGAATGAGTGAGTGAGTGAGTGA